TGCGCATTGTGAACAACGAGAACATACAAACTCACTAACAAACAAACACATCAACATACAAACACATCAACATACAAACACATCAACATACAAATACATCAACATACAAACACATCAACATACAAATACATCAACATACAAACACATCAACATACAAACACACCAACATACAAACACATCAACATACAAACACATCAACATGCAAACACATCAACATACAACTCATCAACATACAAACTCATCAACATACAAACACATCACATCAACATACAAACTTCGAACACATACAACGGAAATCAATGGCGACGATCGTAAAAATGAAAATAAAGCTTAGAAAATCGTTGCAGTTACATTTTTAATTCAATTTTTCACTGAAAAAAACTTTTTTGTTTCATTTGTATTTTTAAAATTTTTTTATAAGTTATGTAATGTGGATGTCGTTAAAACGTTGTAGATTTTTGTTTTGAAATAGCAGAGCATTGCAAATATGTGTATGTGTGTGTGTGGTGTGTGTGTGTGTGTGTGCGTGCGAGACACAAAGTTGCGTGTTTGTCTGGTTAGGCTACATGTGCATGTTTTGTTCTCTTTCTCATAAATATCCCGTCCGAACAATGAAAAGCTGTGACTAGGTAATTTTTTGTTTCGTAACACTCAGAGCACAAATGGTGTTTATTGATGTTGCATGGACCATTGCTGCTGTTGCAGTCGTCACCGCGGCTTCAAGATGAGTTGTGGTCGACTTGATGTCTAGAAAGCAATTATAAGGATGATTGACGAGTGGACAAATTAATCCCAAGATAGATACGAATCTTTCCATAATCGTAATAATTACAACATTCGTATTCATAAAATTTATCTTGATGCTCCGACATGGAGACGAGCAGCAGACGCAATGTATATGCTAATTACGCTTCAAATTCGTTCATGTACGTGGTTTAGATGGGCAAACGAAAATTTTTTGTACGGGATTTTTTTGAAAGAAAGAGTGCTCACAGCTGATGTAGTTCATTTCGATTTGTTTTCAAGCTTTTTAGTGTATGAATGAATTTTAAAATGAAGATGCATGAAGATTCACGGGGACAATTTCTCTTTAAATATTTTCATGCAATCTTCGTAAATATATTAAAAAAAACAAGAGCAAGAACACAGATACTACAATGATTATGTTGAAAAAGTAACTGATGGTGAGTAGGATGGATATGATGATGATGGCAACAATCTTGATGATGACAAGTAGAAATAATAATAATAATATTATTATTATTATTATTGTTATTATTAATTATCTCATAATTAATTCTTCGCGGTATTACGAGCAAACTCACGCATCATACAAACTGCATGTGATGTTTTATGGGGATCTCCTTTGCGGTCGAATCCGGTCAATGCCACATCAGGACCAGACACTCTAACCATTATACCGTCTGGCTACTGATTATGTTGATGTTGACAACGACAATGAGGACGATGATAAGGATTTATAGAAAAATTGTTGATGGTGTGGCGAAGCATAAAGATAAATATGATGACGACAACGATGATGATGATATTAATTTCGGTAATAGAACGCGTTGCTAAAACGAATAATTATCATTGATACCTCATCTGATCAGATTACTGATAAATTCGGGAACTGATGATGATAAGAATCATCATCATATCATTATTATTGTCATCATTACCATCATCATCGTCGTCGTCATCATCATCATCATCGTCACAACAACAGCCAACGTCGTAGGCAACCATAAGAACTACACTGATCTAAGTGCATCGACGTACATGACGCGTTTGTGACGTCATAAAACTCCAGCCAATCACTGTCGTTATATTTGTATTGAAATTAACCTTGCCATTTCATTTGTTTTAATTTCTTTACGAAAGTAATTACAAACGTCAAACAATTCCATTTGTATTATTCCACATTGGATTATATTGAAAAATAAAAATTGAGGAGAGTAAAATAAGTATTCAAAATATTCAAAAACAACCTCCTATTATACGTACTGTATACACACACACACACACACACACACACACACACACAACACACACACACGTATAAAACATACACATACATATACACACACATACATATAACAATAACTATATTTTTATAAAGACTAAATCCTACATGAAGATATCAGTATGTAGTTTGTATACAGATGTGTAGTGTTTCTATAATGATTTTGTATGTTTCTATATAAAATTCACACATCAACAGTGTCTTTATGAGAATACCTGTAAAGTAAATGCGTATTTAGAAGGTATTTATACCTATTTTTAAATTGTTTATCAACTGACCGGATGTCCCAAGAATGAATGAGTTATCTTTCGGAGTTTTTTTAATCTCGAGTTTGATGTTTAGTCTGTTTTTGTCGTAGTTGTTGTGTATGAGGGTGACCAGCTTGCAGGCCAGTATCGTGTCCTGGTCGTCTAGATCTTCTGATATAAGGACACCTGGCATGGTTGTGTGTTTGGGTACTGTTGTTGTAGTGGTATTTTGTTGTTGTTGGTCATGGTGGTTGTAAAATTAATTTTTTTTATAAATTTTAACATTTTTAAAAAAATTGTTGTTGTTGTTGCATTTCATTGATAGATTTTAATATTTTTCTAAATGTTTGTGTCTGTACATATAGCTTTTTGGTCTGAGATGCGAATACCCCAATAGGCAAAATTTTGGATTTTTTTTAATCATTCACCGATGTTTTCTACACCACCATGCTACGCCTCAAATATTGGATGATTTTTTGCGATAAAATATTAAGTGATCACATTTTAACATTAGTTTGATATCCAGCTACTTAGTGCAATGAAGCATGATTTGATGGTCTCAAATCCGAAAAACCTCTCAGCGAAACTTGACATAGTGATTCGTTTTGTTTTTTTTTCATTAGTTTTTAGTTGTATTAAAACATATTTTTCTTTTTGTTTTTTGGGTTTGGTGATTTTACACGTGGATAAGAATGAGAAAAAGAATTTTTTCTAATTTAATGTTAATTAGACCGATCTATTGAAGCTGACGGTAATGACACTGTTGACGCTGGTGATGGTGAGGATTATGGTGATTGTGATGATAATGACGATGGTGGTAGTAAAAGTAGCAGATGATAATGATGATAAAGATGATGATGGTGTGGTGGTGATGATTGCAGTTATGATGATGATATGATGATGAGAATCGTGCCGTTGATAATGATAATACGATTTTATGATGTTCTTGACTAGGATAGTCCTGTGATGAAGAAGACGACGATGGAGACGATGATGACGAAGATGATGATGACGACGAGGATGATGAGGATAACGATGAGGATGACGATGATGATGATAATAGTGGTAATGATGATGAGGACGACGACGATAATGAAGAAGATAATGTTGGTAAAGGTTAAATTGTAATGTACGACATCATGGATGTCTTTTATTAGAGGACGGTGTTCAATGACAATATGAACCAAAAACGATTGCATTTGTATTACATTGTAACAACCTGTGTGTCCGCGTGCGTGTGCGTGTGTGTGTCTGTGTGTGTGTGTGTTTGTGTGTGTGTGGTGTGTGTTTGTGACGATGTTTTATACATTCAAGAAACTGATGGTCTTAACGGACGGAAATAGATATCCTGGTGCTGGCTTTCACAGATGGAACACTCACCAAGGAAATACTCACTGGCCACCTGGAATGAAACGTGTCCGTCGTGACAAAACTCATGAAATAGATTTTCTCTTCGGTTATGATGATAGCGATAATCGAATCAGAAATAACAATAGCGACGGTGGAGATGATGGTGAGGAAGATGAAGAAGATGATGATGGTGATGAAGATGATGATGATGGTGTTGAAGATGAAGAAGATGATGATGGGGATGAAGATGATGGTAATAATAACATTGCTGGTCTGCCTTCATGCACTTATGCATGCATAAAAGCGTTCACACCAACACGCAATTGTGTTTGTATACGTGATTGCGTGTGCGTAAGTGTACGTGATTGAGGTTGTTGTGTGTGAGTGCTTATGTCTATCTGTGTGTGTGTGTTTGTTTGTGTGTGTGTTTATTTTGTGTGTTTGCATTGGATATTATTGTTTGCATTCGACCAGCTAGTAAATGAATGAATGAGTGAGTTTGAGAGTGAATGAATGAAAGAATGAGTAAATAAATAAATGAGTAAATAAATGAGTGAGGGAGCGAGTGAATGTCATTCTTTCACTCACTCACTCATTCACTCATTCACTTACTCACTCACTCACTCACTCACTCACTCACTATCAATGATAACAATGATGTGATTGCAGAAAAATCATTTCATTTCAATCGATTGAACCTAACTCATCTCCCCACTTGAATAAAGTTGCTAGTTAATTTTTAACTGAATTCCTAATTGACCTACTAGACATTAATTACGATTCACAGGTTATTAAAACTCCCTACGTCATACGTGGTGATAAAAACACATGTAAGGGCGTTGAATAAACGACTCAATCAACTTGTTAACGTGTCATGTTTTGTATCAAAATCAAAAATTTAACAATTGATATTAGAAAAATAAGAATGTATTAAACGAGTTGACTAACACAATTATAATTTGTCACATTTTTTATCTTTATGTGCGTGTGTGGTGTGTGTGTGTGTGCGGTGTGTGTGCGTGTGCGTGTGACTCACTACACAATTTTTGTGAGTTAACGAGCAACCTAAAAACAACTTATTTGGTTTTCAGTTTTTCGTCTCATCAATCAATATTACAATAAATTGAATGGGTGAGCCACTTCTATCTGACTGATAGATGCGATTGTTGAGTTGGATGCATGCATTGATTTGAACACGTGTTCTGTTGTAGTTGTGTTGTTGCCGTAGGTTTTGTTTTTGTTGTGTTGTTGCTATTTTTGTGTTAACGTAATGTAGTTACGTTGCTAATGTTGTGTTGTTGGCTTGATAATCTCACGTTAAGTGCCATGTTAATAAAATTCTTGAAAAATAAAATTGAAAATAACTTTTAAAAATGTCATCTAAAATTTAATATTTTAAAAATGATTCGCGAAGTAAAATTTAATGAAAATATAACGAGCCAGATTCTACCTATGCTTACATTCATTCTTCGTCTAGATGCCGAATGAGTGAGTGACGATGAAGACGATGAGGAAGACGGTAATGAAGCTAAAGATGATGAGGATAACAATGACAAAGAAGAAGATGACAAATGTGGTGTGAACGACAATGATGAAGGCAGATCGAACATCGTCATGTGGCAAAAGACGAGGATGTAGATGAGAGATGATCTGGAGTAGGAAATGCTAAAGATGAGTCGAAAGAACTGAAGTTGTTTCATTGAGAATAATGATGACGACGACGATGATGATGATGGCGAAGATGATAGCAAAGATGAAGATAAAAATGATGATGAATGGAAGGAAGATGATGATGAAGATGAGGAAGAAGATCGCGATGACAGCAACTTTGTCGATAGAGATTGCAACGAGAATGACGATGACGATGATGATGTTTCTTCAGGGATCATTTTGACGCTGGCAGTTAAGCTGGCACTCTAGAGCAGTTGAAATCATAATCATTCTTCTGTTTTATGCACTGTTAACGATGAGGAAGATGATGATGTTAGTGATGAAGAAGATGATGAAGTTTGTGATGATAAATGTTACGCTAATGATAAAAATGATAGTTTTTGTAAAATGACCAAGATGATATGTAATGAAGAAGATGATTTTTGTAAAGTGAATGAGATGATAAAGGATACAAAAAATGATAATGTGATGAGTAAAATGATATCATTGATAGAAAAATCTTTTTAGTGGTTAAGACGTTGATAATTACAATTATAATTATAATGGCGTAGGTAGATGAGTGTTGATAAGCTTGTTTTGTTACTAAACGAAAAAATTAATTCCAAATTTGCATCCAGTCAGTTAGTTAAATGAGTGTCACTGTGCACGTAAGTTAGAAAAAACTCATTGGCCAACGAAAGATATCTTTGGCCAACTTTTTTCAAAAAATCCCTCTGATTTACAACCTGCCATTGAGGTCAATTCAAAAAAATGAGCTATACAAATCAAGAAATCAAGATGATAATGAAGACAACGATAAAAACGAGGATGATAATGAGGATATTTTATATCTTCGCGGGAATTGTTGCACACTCTGTTTAAAAGTATTTTATTACTTTCCTCCCCAACATTCATCAATCCATTCATTCACCCATCCATCCATACATCCATTCATCCATCCATTCATTCACCCATCTATCCATCCATCCATTCATCCATCCATCCATCATGAGTCTTGTAGTAGATTCAACGTAATTTAGTAATGAAGTTTTGAGTGTAATCGAAATGATTGCACAATCAATCATTCATTCATTCACTCATTCATATACTTTCCATCATTCCATCACATCATCAATCAGAAATATCACGCGGTTCCAGTGTTTGTTGGTGTTTGTTTGTGTTTGTTTGTGTTGGTTTGTTAGTTGATGTTTGTTTGTTTGATGTTTGTTTTTTATTGTTTGTAGATGTATGACGGTGATGTATGTTGATATTTAGCGTGGCTTTATGTTTTTTTGTTGTTATTTTGTGTGGATTGGTGTTTGTTGCTGTCTAGTTGTTTAAATATGACGATGGTTTTGTTTCGTTGCGTTTAGTTGAATCGAAGTTGTTGAATTGTACGGTTTATTGGTAGGTTTCTAAAAGATTAATATATGATTGAAACTTCAAATCTCGATTTCTTACTACATGTCGACATCAAAGGATCTGAAAAATTGTTACTAAAAATTGTTACTTGTTAATAAATTATTTTTTCGTCAGTAATTATGAAACAATCCTGCTATTGTAAAGGCCTTATTTATATTACATCAGTAAACTGTATCGGTATTGCTGGTACATACTGCTAACATTTTTATAATGGTACTGTGTCAGTTTTGTTTTTTCGTAGAGAATGATACTTTTTTTTATTGCTGTTTGTGTTTGTTGGCGGTGATTTCAGCGGGTAGACGGAATTTAAAAAATTTAATTATCTTTTCAACATCTCCTGATTATTCTCCATACACTTCCATGTTATGCCTCCAAGCACACTTGAAATTGAATTAAATTTTTCATCTCTTCGCTGGTGTTTAAACTTTCTAAAAAATTTTAAAAAAATGAAAGTTGAAATTTAAATGATTTTTGGTTTAAGAATATTTTTTAATATGAATGATTTATGTTGTTTTGGTTTATGAATCATTAAAATGTTATTCTAATTATAATAAAAAGATTTCAAGGTTATTTTCGTCAATTTAAAGAAAAATGTATAACGTTTAGATATGATTTTTCAAAACTTTATTCACAAATCTGAAATCTCACTTCCGTATGAAATTAATCCATTTAAAAATGTGAATTTCAAAACGTTGTCAAGAGAAGAACAACAAAACACAGACATGGTTCAACAGTTTTAACGTAACAACGAGACAATTAAACTCATACGAACAAACTACTAAATCACAAAACTGGCATAAAGTTTTTGTTAAAATAATAACAACTATATTCACTTAATTCAAAATTTACATAAACAAATACAAAAATTTATATTTTAAATAATAAAACTTTTCATTGAAATTAATCAATTGAAAAATAAAAAATCGATCGTAACATATAAATAATATTTATATTAATAATTATTTTAAAATATTTATAAAATTATTTTGACAGTTTTGAACGCAGGCAATCGCAGAAACTGATGCTCTGCTCATAGGAGAAACATTATTTATACATGTGTGCGAGTGTGAGCGCGCGCGCGTGTGTATATTTTAATGTGTGCGTGTTTGTGTGTGTATATAATTATGTGTCTGTGTGTGTGTGTGTATTAATGAAGGCATGTTAAATGTTTATAAATAGTTAGTTTATATACAGTAATACATAAGCGTATATATTTATTTATAGAACTTTGAGTGTATAGCCAGTTTATCTGCTTGTCGTGTTTGCTTGAAGACGTCACAAGCCTTATATTGTGACTATTAAGATGAGTTTCTTGAAATTGTGAAGTTTTACGCTTTCACTTGAGTTAGTTTGTTAAATCTTTTCTGCCTGAAAATGACTAGCCAGATCCGCCATTGTAAGCATGTTATTTTGTTGGAAAATAATATTTCAATGTATATTTATTACCATATATTTATTATTCCCTTTCCTCATCTTCATCATATTTGAAGATGGCATACTTTTCACGTCACAGTCTTCACTGCATTTCATTCACATCATCTTCATCTACTACGTTATCGTACGTTATCATTTTTAAAGCAAACTATTTTTCAAAAATAGACGAAAAACATAAAAAGAGACAGATGTAGATAGAGAGAATGAGAAAGAGAAGAGAGAGAGAGAAAGAGAAAGAGAGAGAGAAAGTGAAAAAGAAAAAAACTGATGATGACGATGATGATGACGCATTATCAAACCCAGGTGTTATACATATTTGAGTTCATTCTAAACATCAATCCATAATATAAATATGCATCTTAGAATTGTTCCTTGACTAATGATAAAAAAGTTATCGAAAATCTTTGGCAGATAATATCAAAGGAATATTTACCTCTATCATTTATATAATACTAATGATAATGAATATATATTTTATATATATTCATTATCATTAGTTTACATTACATTTATATAAGAATGATAATGAATCATTATTATATAAATGTAAAATGATATAAATATGATTCATTATCATTCTTATATAAATGTAATGATATATCAATGACACGAATAATATATCAATGATACCCTTATACAATGAAAAGTTGGATACATTTAGACTTACAACAAAATGTAATGTTATGTGTTTATATCAGCGAGATTCTGTGAGAAAGGGTTGTTGTCTATGTTTATGTAAGTTTATTTACAAGTTATTTTTACATACAAATCAACGCATGTTTTATATAGAATTTTCATACATGATATTATATGCAAGAAGGTTTAACGATATTTACGATAACGAAACTTACGGTAACGAAACTAACGGTAACGAAACCAATGGAAACGAAACCAATAAAAACGAAATTAACGATAACGAAACTAACGATACGATCAGGAAAGGAATAAAAATAAACCAAAACTACAACGAATGGATGAATAATAAAATAAGAAAAATTGTGCTGTTTCAGAATGATTTATTGATTCGTTCGAACACCCCTTTTCGTTGAAAGGTTTAAATCATAGACCAAAACTCTACGGATAAACACACACACAATACACAAACACACAAACGTATAAACACATAAATCACATACACACACACACACACACACACACACACACAGAAGCAGGCGCATAAATACATATACATATTATTATGTAGATGATAATTTAGGTTAGGAGGTATAAGTAAATATAAGTTGTATATAGATATCTGTTAAAGTAGGTTTGTAATTATAATGATAGTTAAGTTATGAAAGTAGTTCAAGACGAGACAGCAAATTTACAGACATAAAGCAGCTTAGTGTAAAATAATATAACGTATAATTAATCAAAGCATATAATACTTTTTTCTAATAAGAACGAGGTGACATACAATAGGGACTGACTGGTTAGAAGGAGTTAGACAACTAGTTAAGCTCTAAGGAGCAAGGTCTCCTAGTATAAAATAGGCGAGCCCATAAGTTGAGAGTTATCTTAGTTAAGTAAGAGTTATCTCTTTAACACGCTTTAAACTCTTGAACACTACTTATTCACTTTTAAACATTATTATTTGCATTATTTTTTATATTTGAATTTTCAGTTTTAAGTTTTGTTATTTTATTTCATTAAAATATATTTAGTTGCAATCAAACAATAAAAATAACATTGACAATGATAAGTGAGTCGTTTCTCGTTCGATTTCGATTATTAAACTTTATGACATTTTAAACACTAACTAATACTCAACACACCTAAGTCGCTAATTAAAGTCATCTCTCATCATTTTATGTACATGAACAATATCGAGTTATTTAACGCTGAGCGAGCGAGTTTACAGAAACAGAAAGAATTTCTCCAAGAACAAACTATGTTGATCGTTCAGCAACCGTCGTAGAACGATGAAGAGCGAGCAGTATAACATGGTGGAGAACCGGGATACAATATGACATTATAACAATGTATATTTATTAACTTATATGGAAATGACGAAAGTGAACAAACAAATCTGTTCATGGTACAAGGATATAAAAATCGGACATCTTTCTCTCTTTCTTCTCTCTTTCTCTCTTTTTCATTTTTTCTTCTCCTTTTCATTCTCAATCTACATCTATTTCTAGATTATTTTTTGTCTGTCGTTTAATTTTGTAAAATAGTTTTCTCTGTTCAGTTTTTCATAAACACACATTCAGTTTTTTTTAATATTTTTAATAATCATATTTCTAATTTTTATCGACCTTACAATTTTTTGTCCTTCACTATTTCAACTGAAACTTATATAACCTCGTTAATATTGATGACGTCATTTTCACCATCATCATCCTCATCTGCAGCAGCAGTAACTTCGTTACTATCATCATCATCGTCGTCGTCGTCATCATCACAACCTATAT